CATAACCTCTATTGTGAGCGATACGTGATGATATTGATGAACGATTTAGGTTGCATGCATTTGATCCATATATTTTGTTGTACATGATGGGTGGAACGAAATACAACTCCTGACAAGTTTTCTCATTTCTTAAGAATGTGTTTATTTTCTTGTTTTATGTTTTTCCTTTTGCATTTTCATCCCAGACCATTTAAACCCAAGCTTAGAGACGTGGAGATTGTCGAACGACATTCTTTCCCTCGCACATCCCTGTGGAGACGACATAAATCCCGGAGGAAATTCTTCCGAAAATAATATTTTTGCTTGCCGCTTTACCGCTCCTACAAAATGGCACTGTTGTCGGGTATTGGTTTTGATATTGAGTCGCATTGCGATAGTTTCTATATTTCTAAGCTTTGCACCTAATTGTATATATGCTTGTATAGATAGTTGTTTTGCTTTTATCTTTCATTATGTTTGTTCAAGTGTTGTATATATTTTGTTCTCGTAACGTTTGTTCAAGTGTTTGGTTAGGACACTTTCTTTAGGTTAACGCTTTGACAAAGCATCAGCGTGTATGTGAGGAAGTTACTAGCAAAGAACAATAAAGGTGTCGAGCTAACGACGTGAAACAGACGCTTGTTGGGAGGCAACCCAATGGTTTTTGAGTTTGTATAGTTTTATATTTAGTAGTATAGTTGATATAAAGTGAAAATGGATGGACCACATGTGAGAAAAAGAATATGAAAATTGAAGTTTTCCTGCCCGCGCTTAGCGCGCCTTATTTTTCAAGGACAAATCTCTCATTTTCCATCCACTTTCACCAATTTTGGTTTTTGTGTTTAGTTAGTTTTAATTCAATTTTGTTAGGTTGTTAGAATAATGTTTGTGTTTGCTCTCAAGTTTGTTTTTGATTAGCTTGAGGATGCATTTTGTGATTTTCCATGTTTGATCGTTTCAACTTGCGAATGTATGTGTTGCACCCCAAATTTTGACCCCTTAGATCTTCATCATCATTCTAGGATCATTTTCACTTGGTTATCTAACCTTAACCTATTTCAAGTTTGTCTTTATTAAGATACAGGTGAATTAGGGTTCCGTACAGTCAGGAATCGAAGTCTCGACGGTTTAATCAGTCAATGTATTGGATTGATTCTCCATAAAACAAGTATCTACGTCATCAAAGATACTCCATTGGGTCAAGTATGAATCCAATTTGAAGTTGTCACCCAAAGATTAAAGACAGTGCAGTTCAGGATCCCCGATTAGGGTTTCTGATCAGGAAAAGTCAACTGTAGTTTGACTTTTGATTTTCATTTGGCTATGTTAGCATTTTATTTGTAACTTTATTTGCTTTTAAGCATTGTTATTTTATTTTAATGGTAATGTTAATGCAGTGATCATGCATTTTCTTAATCAATCATATTGTATTCACTCATTTTTATTTATATCAAAAACAAAAAATATTTCTCCCATTCATTTATCTTTATCAAACTATTGTTTTAGCAAATATTAGAGGGAGGATGATGAAAATGAAATACCTAAAATTGTTATGATATGCTTTCACAGAAAAACTTTGTTGATGATGTAAGACATTGGTTCGAATCCCCAAACACCAAAGAGATAAGGAGTTAGTCCCTAGTCAACCACTTTGAGCCTAGAAGTTGGTGTTTCTTTCAAAACTAAAAACCCTTAATCTTAACCAGGTGTCGCACCTCGAAAAATCACGGAGATATTTCGGAAATACGACCCTCGCGCGAAAGGCGCGGAAATGCGGTTCGACAGAGTCGCCACCGAACTTTATTTTTCCCGAATAAACGGGAGAGGAAAATATCGAGAAAACCTCTTTAAACGAAAGGATAGGAACAGGGCTGTCGCAACCAAGTTCCGGGTTCGGGAGTCGGTTACGTGAGGGGAAGGTATTAGCACCCTTCACGTCCGTCGTACTCGACGGGAACCTCTTAAGGTAAATGTGGGGAGTGTTGTTTAGGTTTACTTGTTTTCTTCTCGTTGCTAAGGCGAATTGGTAGGGTAAAAGGTAAAGACGCTAGGGGAAATGGGTGGTTAGAAGATAGGGTGCTCGCCAAGGATTGGGGCCCTTGTGCCTACGTATGCTCATTCGGACGAGAATGAGAAATCAGAGCGTCGTAGTTCGACTACGGGAAAGGATGGGGGGAAAAAACGAAAGATGGATAGAAGTGTGCTCGCCAAGATCATCGCAATCTTGTGCCTACGTATCTTATATTCAAGAATGAATAAAGAATCAGAGCGTCCGTAGTTCGTGGTAACAACCACGAAAAGATGAGGTTTGAATTGGTTTAACGTTGAGTTGAGAGACGAAAGAGTGACTGACAAACAACCTAAGGGCGTGCCTCAAGAGCTTGTCACTCAAGAATTCAAGGAATGCGAGATCCCAAGAACTCAGTTCTTTCGGAAATTGGGTTGAATGAGTTGAAGATAAGAGTTGGATATTTTGAAAACGAAAGAATGAACTAATAACAACTCGGGGGCGCGCCCAAGAGTTACTCGTTCGAATATTCAAAGAATGCTAGATTCTAAGAATATCCCTCTTTCGTAGGTTTAAAAAATGTGTTTGTGAAAGGATCGAATCGAAGAATGGCATGCGAGGCCAAAAGGGAATTGTTTTGAACTGGCTCGACGATGAGTCGAGGATTTGATCGAAGATGGAACCGACTTGACGACGTGTCAAGTGTTAAGGTTGTGAGAAACGATATTAGTCCCTGAGGGTGCTCCTAATATCGAGACCACGAGGAATTGTGAATGTGTGTGAAATGTGGGTTGCGAATGCGTACGAGCACTCGACTTAGGAGAACGTTTGGAAGATGTTTGAGTTTGAAAAAGTCGAAAGGTTGAGTGAATAACAACCCAAAGGGCGTGCCTCGAGAATTATTCACTCGAAAATTCAAGGAATGCTAGACTCCAAGAACCTCCTTCTTTCGAGGTGTGAATCGAAAAAAGATATTTGAAAAAAGGTCGAAAGATTGAGTGAATAACAACTCAAAGGGCGTGCCTCGAGAATTATTCATTCGAAGATTCAAGGAATGCTAGACTCCAAGAACCTCCTTCTTTCGAAGTTTGATCGAGAAAATGTTTTAAAAGATAATTTGAAGTGTAAGTGAAATAGTCTCGACTAAAATTATCATCTATCAATAATTTGACCGATAATAATTATTAAAGTCATCATTGACTAAACTAAGCAAGAAATCGATAAAAAATAAAAATGAAAGAAGTTAAAGAGAAAACGGTCTCGGGTTCGTCATTACTCGTCAAAAATTTGACAAAGTTATAACTTGGGGTATCGTCATCGACCCAAAAATAAAAATAAAAATAAAATTGAAATCATAAAAGGATATAAAAGGTTGATTAAACCTAATATTATAAAACTAGTTTTCAGTAAAGAATAAAAAAAGAAAGAAAGTTTTTATGTTCACAATACAAAGCAAAACAAGGGGAAGTATGTGCTAAAAGCTGGTGGTGTAAACAGGACGGGCCTCAAGCCCATTCAGTAGCAGAAATTTCTAAAAAAAAAGAAGGAGAAAACGAGTAAACACGGCTAGCATCAAGCTTTAAACCAACAGGTAGCATAAGGTTTTAAACAAAACAGGGTAAATGAGGCAACGTTTAAATCAGGTTATCCAAGAAGTAAACACGGTCAATGTTCAAAACCAAAACGAGAACACCTCGTGTTCAAACCGACACCGCGTCAAAATCTGAAAGAACAAAACAACGATGGTGGATGGAATCGAAGCAACCTCTTCTTCGTTCGTCTCTGCTTTCCTCATCTCAAATAGCTCCAAGCTTAATTTGAGTTTTCTGGGATGATTCACAGTTTCGCGAAGCCACCTTGTTTTGCTGTTCATTGAATGGGTTTGAAGGAGATTCTTGTTCAGATTGATTTATGTAGGTACGAGTTCTTGACTGGGGTTATGGTTTATGTTTCTGCTTCATCTCTATTCTGGATCTGTTTAGGTATGGCTGAAACGGGTTTGAGATTTGATATTGTTTTAGTGAGAGAATTTGGAGATTGGAGAAGAAAAATTAGGTTTAGAGGTTTGTGATCTTTCTTTGATTTGGGGTTTGGAGGTTTGTAAGTTCAATAGTGAAATGGTTTTCTGCAGGTTTGCGAGGGGGATGATGAGGAGGTTCAAAAACTGAGGTTCTGTTGATTCTAAACTTTGGGGAGTTGAGGTATTGAGTGAGCGTGGTTGTTTCAGACTGATGATTTGAAGGAATATAATGGATTGAGGCGTGTTTCTGTGTTTGTGTCGTTTTGGAGTGAAATGTTTCTGGGTTCTTCTTCGAAGAAGGTTAAAGAAGACGGTGATTTTTATGAAGAACCGTTTTTTTATTTTGGGGTTGTAGAAGAGGGTTTCTGGGATTGAAAGTTTTTTTGTTTTCTTTTTGAAGGTGATGAAGGACAGGTTTATGAAGTTGAAAGTCTCAGGAACGTATTGAAAGCTGAAGCCATGGTTTAGGCGTCAAACTCAATTTTCTTTTGGAAAGAGGTGGCGGCTAGGTTTCAAATGGAGGCTGCTAGGTTTTTTTTGTTCCAGATTGAAGGAGAAAGAGTTTTCTCTTTGAAGGAGGTTCGAATGATAGGGTGGTGGCTAGGGTTTTTTGAAAAGGTCCCCCCTTCTTCCTCTGAGAGAAGATGATATTTATGTAAGCTCTAAAGGGTATCTTGGGGATTTGGGAGAAGGTACGATTCTGTTGTACAATTTTGGAGGGTTATGGAGCACAAATATTGAAGGAAAATGGTGGTGACACCTGCTGCAGATTATACAACCTATTGAGGTGTGGAGCGGCTGGCATTGTGATTGTTGCTTCTGCTGTTGCAGTTTTTTGTAGTGCTGGCTGCTACTGTTGTCCTTTTGTAGCAGGGGTGTGTATTTTCTATCAAGTTACGGTACGATTACAGGACCATACTTATTTAATACTGATCTCATTGTGAATTGCAATTACTGCAATGTTTTTACTTTTTACTACTGTGAAACTTGTGATCACACACTGCCCTTTTTTGATTTATTGATGGAATGATTAATCCCTCTTAATTTGACTCTCATTTTTCTTGTAACAGTGAATTGTTGCTGCAAATTCGACTCTGGCCGAGAATCCTTGTTGTTACATTTATGATGTTCTTTGGAATTACCCATTATCTTGCCTCTCGACCAAGTATTCCTGTAAGATGAATTGTCTCGCAGAGATGCGTCATGGGACTTGTACTCCATAACGTAGCTGTGAGGGAGCTTTAAGTGACGCTTAATCGAATCTCTCAAAGCCATTACAGCCTGATTATCAGAAGCATTGTGGTTCCAGACACTCACTACATCCTTGTTGAATCGAATGCTTAGTACTGCACCGCATATGTTATCACCATAATCCAACTGATCACCCACTAAAGCCAGCACCAGGTCTTCCCAAAAACAACCTGAGACAACCTTTTTGAATTGTATTATCCATTTTCCATCATTGCAGTTAGCAGAGTCCTCCCATAACGGACGAATTCCTTCTTTAAAAAGGTGCAAATCTGTTGGACTAGGCAAAGAAGCAGGACGAGAAATATGGCAATAACAGACACAAAGTCCTTCGACCGTATTGAACTCAACAATCTTCTTTGTGTTGTCCTCATATGATTGATTCCGAATTCCAGGTACCCGCCGAGCGTACCAAAATACAAACTTTCTCTTTAGAGGGTGAAGACCAGCTTTGAGTTCACGTGCTTGTCGCTCTTCGGTTTCTTTGATATTGTGGGAATCAGAAGCTAATTGAGAAGAAGAATCGGCGATTTGGTGAGAGATTTCTGAGTTTTTGTTTATGCTGCGTGCCATTCCCCCCCCCCCCCTCAAGGATAGCTCGAAGTCCATTTTCAGCTCATCTAAAGACTCATCAGGTAGACAGTGTATACATCCATTCTTTCTCTAGCAATATCCTGAAGATTAATTATGTCTCTTGTACAAAAATATCTCAATCAGCGATGTCTGCGGCAGACTGATGCTAAGATGTGCGGTCTTCCTTGTTCGGCAGAATACGCTGGAGCTGCTGTTGTGAACAACTTCAATCATGTTCACTTTCTTTCTCTTTTTAGCTTGATGACATGAGAACTGCTATAACATTGGCTGTTGAATTGAGTTGTGAAAGCTGTTAGCAACAGGGTAATTATTGATTGAGTGGTTCCTCTTTCTTTAATCAAATTTGTTCTTCAATTGTGTGAATTGCAATTGGCATTTGAAATGACTAATCCTATCTGCTGCAGGTTATGGCGCATGGTTGTATTATTGGTTGCGTGACCCAGCAACTTGTGGTAAAAAGCATGATGTCGGTGTATGCGGGGACATGTCATTGTATGTTGCCATGGCTTCTCTCATGTCATGTGTGTACATATCAAACAGCAATAACTTGACATTTTGCTTGTGTTTTATCAATGCAGGTTTAGTATCTAATTGCAACTTGATAAAACAAAAATCTCAACACCTTGAAGCGTCATCGCCCGGGCTGTCTCCGGAAACTATTGAGTTGTAATGTGCATCGCTTGCCTCCTCGACGAAGCTAACTGGTATGACCATACCTAATCAATTACAAGTTTCCTATAATTGTAGGATGATCCTTATAGGATTTAGCTTCTCTTTGGATTTGCAGGTCAAGCTGTAATGGCTTGTGCAGAGTGGTCTGTGTGCATTTGCAGATCTTTGTCATAAGAATTTGATGCAACTATGACTTGTGCAATGTAAATTCTGTGCAGGGATCTTTCTTGTTAGCCAGCCCTTATTATCTGTGGCGTATTTGCGGGTATGCAATCTTGCTTCTGCATCTGAATTTTCTTAAGTAATATAACTGAAAATTGCATATGCTCTTGACACTCTTCCAATTCTTATTTTACGCATGCAACTAGCGCATGGTTGGCTCGAAGGAACAATTCGGTATGCTGAGAATTCTGGGCTCATGTGACAACAGTATTATTGACTTCTTCGATTCATATGCTGCAACACATGAGGCAAGCATAATTTTAGCAGAGGTAGTTATTGAATCATTTGTGGTATCTCTCATTGTGTTTGTTTTCCCAACTCAGTCACTTTGAATTTCTGCAGGTTCCCGTTATAAGATGTAGGCGTGAGAAGCTTGGAGGTGATTAAAGGTATTGGCTTGGACATCTTCTTGGTAATCGGAGTCCCGGCGTTCTCTTTATTGCTTTCTTGCTGTTATTGAGAGATAGAACTCTTGGGATTCCCTAATGCATTGTCTTGGTTCCTCGCAAACAAACCAACGGTCAAACGGGACTAAGCCGGAGCCCTCCAAACGTGAAGAGACACTGAAGTGTAGGATAGCATTTTCTGAGTGAAGTCTGTTAGAGGCTAGTTTTAAGATTTCGTTAACAGAATACAAAAAAACCTTGTTAACTTCTCTTGTAATTTCCTGTCATAGCCTTGATTTATTTTTCCCGCCATAGTATTACAATGTGACTATCCATATTATTATGGCAAAATTGAATTGAACTGAAGCAGTAAACTGCAGATTACGAAAATCATCATTTTTTGAATCAGAAAAACTATTGAAATCTAGAGCATCAATTCGTATTTCATGAATGTGTTATAACTTCTTTAGAAAGAAGTTCAATAGGTACTACTACCATGACGGGACTTCTTCCCCAAATCGTTGTAAACAGTTGCAAGATGTTGATGGATTGCCACCACATGACCTGAAGGTAATACACCTACGGTATGAAGCTAAACTCCATAATTTTGGCCGTTGTAATACTCAGAACAAAATGCAGAAATATGGTCCTGAAATTTGTAAGCTTTGAACAGCTTGAATCAAGTGCATATCATAACGAGCAGTTTGTAGTGAAGTTTAAACAATGTATTTGACCATATCACGTCTGTCTGATCGTGAAAACGAGGACGAACATGATTTTGGGTATAAGGGTCTGGAGGCGCGCTCTTCCCACAAGGATTCAACATAAAGTGTTAGGGATTATAACCACAATGTGTACACCTGGTCTTTATAAACGGAAATTTAGAGAATCATGGCCAAAAGTAGTAAAGAAGTAAGATGTCCTTTAAATACCGAAGTAAGACAAATTAGGGGTATGACAGATGCCCCTATCTAATTGACTTAAACCGAGTAAGATGAACGGCTATGGTGCTCACTCTTTCAAGGTAGAAGACAATTAGATATGAAGAAAACCCTGAATTTGTCCGAAAAGAGAAGGAATGCCTGGGAAAAGAATAATATCGCCAAAAAGATGATGGGAAGAGACACACACTGCTACTACCACCAAAAAGATGGTAGAGCAAACACAGTATCGCGTAATCTATCATTAATGACCATGATAGACCCCCCCCCCCCCCCGCCAAAAGGATGACAGAGCGAAATACAAGTAAACGATCGCACAATCTGACATCGACGAAATGTCAGACCCACCACCAAAAGGATGAGGGAGCGAAACTCACACCAAAACATCGCACAATCTGATATCGACGAAATACCAGACCTACCACCAAAAGGATGGTAGAGCGAAAACACAAACAAAACATCGCGCAATCTGATACCGACGAAGTACCAGACCTACCACCAAAAGGATGGTAGAGCGAAAACACAAAAGAAAACATCGCGCAATCTGATACCGACGAAGTATCAGACCTACCACCCAAAAGGATGGTAGAGCGGAAACACAAAAGAAAACATTGCGCAATCTGATACCGACGAAGTACCAGACCTACCACCAAAAGGATGGTAGAGCGAAAACATAAGAGAAACGTCGCACAATCTGATATCGACGAAATATCAGACCTACCACCAAAAGGATGGTAGAGCGAAAACGCACATAAAACATCGCGCAATCTGATACCGACGAAGTACCAGACCCACCACCAAAAGGATGACGGAGCGAGACAAGCAAAATTCGCACAATCTATCATTAATGACCATGATAGACCCTCACCAAAAGGATGAAGGAGCGAAACACACGCCAAACAATATCGCACAATCTATCATTAATGACCATGATAGACCCTCACCAAAAGGATGACGGAGTGGAACACAACGCAAATCGCACAATCTATCATTAATGACCATGATAGACCCCCCCATCAAAAGGATGACGGAGTGGAACACAACGCAAATCGCACAATCTATCATTAATGACCATGATAGACCCCCCCATCAAAAGGATGACGGAGTGGAACACGACGCAAATCGCACAATCTATCATTAATGACCATGATAGACCCCCCCCCCCCCCATCAAAAGGATGACGGAGTGAAACACAAAACAAATCGCACAATCTATCATTAATGACCATGATAGACCCCCCACCAAAAGGATGACGGAGCGAGACACAAAACAAATCGCACAATCTATCATTAATGACCATGATAGACCCCCCACCAAAAGGATGACGGAGCGAGACACAAAACAAATCGCACAATCTATCATTAATGACCATGATAGACCCCCCCATCAAAAGGATGACGGAGTGGAACACAACGCAAATCGCACAATCTATCATTAATGACCATGATAGACCCCCCCATCAAAAGGATGACGGAGTGGAACACGACGCAAATCGCACAATCTATCATTAATGACCATGATAGACCCCCCCATCAAAAGGATGACGGAGTGAAACACAAAACAAATCGCACAATCTATCATTAATGACCATGATAGACCCCCCACCAAAAGGATGACGGAGCGAGACACAAAACAAATCGCACAATCTATCATTAATGACCATGATAGACCCCCCACCAAAAGGATGACGGAGCGAAAACACAAAACAAATCGCATAATCCATCATTAATGACCATGATAGACCCCCCACCAAAAGGATGACGGGGCAAAACTCACACGAACATATCGCTATCACCAAAAGGATGATAGGACAACACAGATTTGGAGTTTACCAACACCAAAAGGATGCAGGCTAGGTTGAACTGACGAAGTTCGACTATCACCGAAAGGATGATAGTAAGGCATTTGACAACGGTCACGCTTGCTGGGTACAACTCATTGGGGAACCCCGAGAAGAAGATTGAATTGAAATGAGTGAACGGGGTACGCCCACCGTCTCGTTTGGAGATTACAGTTTTGCCGAAATGATTTCATGGTTACGCCCATGAATTCTGAAGAGGATGCCCCTGACTGGGCTGAATTTGTCTTGATGTCTTGTCTTGCTCAACAAAAGGTTGAACAACTTTATGAGGGACGCTCACGGTCTTGCTGAAGATGCCCCTGTTCGGGTTGGATCTTGCACTGAACTTCTTGGATTTGCCCAACAAAAGGTTGAACAACTTCGTGGGAAACGCCCACGGTCTTGAATGGTATGCCCCTGATTAGGCTGAATGTTGATTTGCATATTTGATCAACCACGAGGTTGTAATTTGTCACGGGAGACGCCCATGGTCTTGAAAAAGATGCCCCTGACTGGGCTGAATCTCGCTTTGAATAACTTCAAATTTTGATGGGAGAGACCCACAATTGCAGAAGATTGCCCCTGACTGGGCTGATGATTGCTTTGAACCTCTTTGAAAATTGTGGGATAAACCCACCATCTTGTGGAAAATACCCCTGACTGAGCGGTCGACGGTCTTGGAAATCTTCGGGATTGATCCTGGACCTTGACTTGCATATATGAATGCTGGATGATATTCCATATGAGTGGAAGTGCAAATGCAAATGCTAACGAGCGGAGATGCAAGAGCTGGGGAAGTATGGTATGATTGGAGTATGCATATGGTGCGGGATACTTATGATAATGAATGTCATGCGTATGATGCACATGATTGCAGACGAGTAATTGGAAATGCAGGGCGACGCCCGCGGGGTGGACTTTGGAAGTTGCCAATGCAGATTGGACTTCGGGTGG